AGGTAGTACTTTGGGAGATAGAATTTTGTATCAAAGGATTTTTTTTCTTATTGCAAAATTAATCGAGATATAAACAATTAAAAATTAAACTACTTTATTTTTCAAAAATTCATAGCTTTGTTACTAATAATGCTAGCTAACTGCTTTTTTTTATGTGTGATTTTTTTTAATGTGGTGGTTTAAAGATTAAAAGATGACTTTAAACTAAAATATTTGAAGTTAAGTTTGAATATTTAATTGAAAAATCACGAAATAATATAACATTTATTGGATTTAGCATATATTATAAATTAACATAGTAAATATAATTATAATAAAATATGACTTTTTTATTGATTTATCAACAAAAAAGTGAGATATTTAAACTATCATTTAAACATTATTTTATTATTTGTCAATATATATTAATATACACGCGAAGTCTGCTAGAAATAGAACGTTTCTTTTGTTTCAGATGTGGACGAGAGAACAATGTTTACATCAGACCGCGGGTGTTGGCGGTGATATTGGACCAAAGCACCGACGGCCAAAGAGACCAGGAAGTCGAAGGAAGGATGAGAGTAGGAGCAACAGTGTCGATAGCGGATCGAGCGAGGATCCGTCCGATCTTCGGCGAAGATCCTCGCCGATAGTGATTACCGCCAGTCTCACCATACCCATGTCCGACGCGTTTACCTTGAACCTCGACGACCCGGACATTCCGTACATCGAGGAAGCACCAAAGCAACCGAGCGCTCCCCCGAGGCGACAAAGGCAGAGATCCACTTCTGGTTGCAGCGAAGGTTTGTATGGCATATCATCATTTAATAATGTCGCAAAAATATGAAAGATTCTTCAAACAACAAACAATATAAATCATCAAGTACATACAATAGGTTTCAATAAAATTCTTCGGGGACCATCGAAGAATAATTTATATGTAACATTAATACATGTTATTTCAGCAATTAATTTAATTTTAAATTAATTTAAAAAAACAAACTAGTAAATGACACAGCTTACAAGTAAATCTACTTAAGTATAATCTCCGATTTCTTTCAAATTTTGCATAAATGTAGAACCATGAAAAATATTTTATAATTTAATAAATACATATATAGTCTGGCCGCGAAAAGGAATCATTGTTCGCGGATCTTCAATACACTGAATCATATTGGAAGAAGTCCTTCGAAATCGGTCCTCTCTTTCCGCGGCTCGACGGAAATAGGTATAACAATATACATTTTATTTAAAAACCCTAAAATTATGAAATGAAAAAAATTTATCTTTTAACTTTTCAACCTTTTACTTTTTTTTATTAACTTAACTTTCAAATTAATTTTATTATAGATTAACTTGTAACTTGACTAAGGTAAATTTTTAAGGCTGTTAACTTTAACTTAACTTAGGTTAAAAAAATATTTACTTGCTCAATCCTGTAAAAAATATATTTTACATAACAATATTAAAAAAGAATGTTTACGTCGATAACATTTATGGACGTAATCAGCAGCCTAAAAATTCATATAACTTATATCGCAAAGTACTTTAATTTTTTTTTTTAATCTATTGCTGATTTGTATGAATTGTTTATTGCTCAAAAGTAAATTAAAATAATTTGTTTTATAAATATGATGCCATGTTTAAAATCATTCATTCGAATAACTTATTCATAAGATATACTGTATTTTTCCAAATTTTTTTCTAATTCGTTTAAATATTTCTTTATATAATTGAGTAATTTTGCAAATTTGATTTTATATTATCGTAATAAACAATCCAAAAAACTTTCATATCTTGTTATTATTAAATTATTTAGATTTACATACTATTATTATGTTTAAAGCTATAATACGAGGATGAAAAGCATATGGGTCAAAACGGAAAGACATAGGTAAAATATTTTTCATAGAACATTCTACATTTATGCCAAATTTGAAAGAAATCGAAAAGTTACACTTGGGTATAGGTTTACTTATTAGTGATGTAACAGCTATTAAAGGAAGATACACAAACTTACCAAGCGTGTAGGTTTCGTTAAATAAACTATTAAGAAAAATAAAATATATAAAAATATTAAGGAAAAGAGAATTATAAATAAATGTGTTATGTAAGCTTGTGAACTGTTAATAAGCAGACTTTAAATAAATATATCCTGCACATATAGTACATCACATCGCATGATACATATTGCATCTCGGGATAAAATGATAAAACAAATAAATGAAATAGACAGAGTTTTAAATCTAACATCTCCGCTTTCAGGAGGAAGACACGGAAGTGACAGTGCCGTGGGCTCTTCGGCAACTCTGTCGGGCGATCAGACGTTGAGTTCCCCGCCCTCATGGGCGTCGTCGCCGCCGGCGAGCCCCGACAGCGCAGTCACCGCTGTTTCGTACATCCCGGATCAGCAGGCGGTTCTCCAGAAAGTCTCATTCACGACCTCGAGTGAAGTAAGGCAGGTGAACAGATCGACCGGCCAACAGGAAGCGAGTAGGAGTGCAGCGGTGCCGTACACGCCAAGCATCACTAGCATCGGCGGTGCGGTTTTAAGGTGAGTAATTGAGTATCCTGTTGCTCTCCTCCCCCCCCCTTCCCAGTTGCCCCCTGCTGCGGTTACCCTTCCGTCCTTGCCGTCTCGTTAAGCCGTAGTCTTTGCAAAGTTTCGCACGGCTTACTCAGTCAGGAAACACTGAAATGTTGCGATAAGTCCTTTATTGAGATTGATGCGTGGATACGCAATAAAGGATCCTTCCTCCGTGTAACCATTGACTTTTATGAACATCCATTTTACGAAGAACTTTCAAGACACACGTCTTCTTTTATGAATAAAAAAAGAAGTTAAGACAACTTATCCTTTTATGTGATTCTTTTACAAGACAATGCAAAAATTTAAATCGTAAAAATTTTTATGTGAGATTATATTTTAAAATTTAATTATTATTACATTATATAGATTTGTAAGAATTTTATTTCATTAATTATTAAAATCGTCTTATGTAATCAACATTCGAACCTCGATAGCTCGAACTTCTACAAAACCTGTATAAATCGAAAATTTTGTTCATTCCCTTCCGCTCCACTGCAGAAAACCTCTATATAAATCGAAATAAAATCTACCTTAACTCGAATTATTTGTCAGATATTTAGATGTATTTACCTCTGTTATTTACCTCTGCAACTCTCATTTAAAGCAGCCAAACCTTTATAGGTCAAAGTTCACCTCTATAGGTCGAACTTCTATTGTCACTGCCTCTATAATTCGAAGTTGTATAAGCTATGTGTAACCATGAGTAATAGCCTGGTATTTGTTTTATGATTACATTTATTATATGTATGCAATAAATAATTCACTGTTAAATATTGAATTTTTTTCCTTTAAAAGCCATTATTATATAATTGGAAAATTATGAACTCTCGTACAAAGTCTTCGTAAGTCGAATTTTCATATGTTAACCCTCTTTTATTCGAATTTCGAAAAGTCGAAAACTCTATAACTCGAAGAGTTTAACTCTTCCCTTAAGTTTGAGGTGCGACTGTACTGAATAAATAAGTGTAATGTAAGTGTAAAGAGAAAATGATTCCGAGTTTGCATTTAATTGGAAACGTTTTATATCGTACGTCTATATAGTAAATGCCAGATTGTTCGTGAGAATTCCGCGAGTATTCCGTGCCAACTAACGCGAACGTACGCTCGGGTGATTCAGGTCCAAGACCGCCGACATCGAGAGAATGCTGCAGATCTCGCGATCGGATGTCGAGCCCACGATCCTGCAAACGAGCAAGAACTCGACGGTAACCTCCAGCGAGAGCAAGAAGTATACGAAGAGGCGATACACGGACTCGAGGCATCAGACGCGCCACATACCCGACGCCGACACCCTGGCTGGCAAGACAACGACGCTTGGCATGACATCCACGTCGGCGATGTCGTCGCCTTCGTCTCCCGCCTCCTCGGCGGTATCGACGCAGAAGCAACGCGTGCCAGCGCAACCGGTGTGGAAGAGGCGAGAATTGATCTCCAGTGCTCCAAAGGATAGGGAGGGATACTTTTAATTTATTGTCTGCGATTATAAATATCGAATTGAGATTCGAAATTGGCTGTCGAATATCATCGACAGATCATACGGTACGTATAATTGCAATAGATGCCTCCGACGTAAATAGCGATCTACATATATTATTTATCTTTAATAGTGAACAAATTCTATTTCTTAAAATTTAATTATGTTGATACATTTAATTTTACCGTTAAAATTCCACGTACACATATTAATAGTTGATAAACTTATATGTGCTCCGAATTATTTTATAAAATGAAATACAAATTTTGAAAAAAGAGAGATATTTGTTTTCACAAAATGGTGTTTTTATTTATGTCTCTTCCAATTGCTGTTGTCAAATTGTACGATCCATTCTATCGTGTGATAATAATAAAAAAATAATTAATGCACCATTTTTCACATTCGATGACATCAGATTGTATCGTCTCGTACACACACGACCTCGAATTTTGATTCGATGAATGGGACAGTCACTGCCGATCAGGCGTGGCCTGGAAAAGTGTTCCTTAATGCGTTTCTCATACTTTCGCGAGATCGCACGATTTATTAGTATATCACGAGATACTTTGCTGGTTCCTAGACTAGTGCCGTCCTCGTGTTCGCGAAAGATCTCCGTGACGATATGCGCATTCTCGTTTCATAGCGAGAGTTTTATCGACCCTTCGCTAGGACCTTGACAAAGTTAAGATAACGGATGCTCGCGCGAAGGGACAAGAGAATCGGCGTGAAAGGTATAGAGAACATCGTCTTACTTTTCGCGATAGAAGTATTAATTATCGCGAGCTCGATGTCAGCTTGAAAATCGTTTTTTCCGTTGTACTTACCTGATTGAAATTGTTATCCGACGATAGCGATGAGAAACTTATTCGTCTTTTCTAATTCGTTCTCTCTACGATTTACTATCATGAATATTGTCGTGAGAGACGTGCGTTATATTATATTATCAGTGTCGTTAAGTTTTCTTTTCCAGTGTCTGTAAGTTAATAAATAAAAGTTAATTTTTTTATTATGCGTTGTCTCATTTCAACCTCGAATCGAATCGCAGATCAAATCCTTTTTTAATAAATAAGATATTGTAAAAAAAATTCAAATGCTTCTAAATCCTTTTCCTTAATTGATTGAGCGTCATAAAATATTTCAATATATATTTTATATACATAATTTTGTAAAAATATATTTTTTATAAACTTTCGCATAAATCTTTAGTCCATTGTTACATGATTGCATTAAATAAATTTAGAAAAAAATAGAATTTTAAAATATATCTTAAAAAACGTATTAAATAATTTTTTCTTAAAAAATATATATAAAAATATATGTATATGCAAGAATATCATTTTTGCAATATTAATACGTATTTGTTTAGAATAATATGTAAATCTACATACGCAAAAGCACAGTTTTTTAAATATTATATCTGTTAACATACGTATTATACATATATTGTTATATGTGTTATTAAATATAATATCTGTTAATATATATTGTTATATCGCAATGAAAGGAATGCAATTTTAAATTAAAATATAATAATTACTCTACATATAATTAACATATCAATAATCATGTCCCTGAGAATATTTTTGTTGAAACACTTAATCGATACAACAGATGATAAGTAACACCCTGTAAAAAATCGGACGTCTACATTAACGAAAAGTCATGCATGTATTTTATTGAAACTCGTTTATTATTCAATTTCTTATGTGCCGTCCTTGACAAGCACTTAAATAGCCTATACACAATCAATATTATTAATGCAATATATGGTGCCAAGAATATTAATGTAGATATGATATTTGTTGGATATTTATTAAACGATCAATATCACTGCGTAATATAAGATATATTGTATAATAATATTGATCATGTAGAGTCACTTTTTATATCACGTTATCAATAATATCATTGAATACATACGAACTTTACAAAAACAGCCGACTTAACAAGTAGATAGGTGCAAATGTGACAAATATATCGTTCACATTAGAGTGTGAACGGATATCTGCGTGTAGATATATACAATATATACGATTACATATCATTAACCGGCTCACTATTTAAATAATAGAAGTTAACTATTCACATTATCTAGTATGAACGATAACAAGGAAATGAAAAGTCACAACAATCTTGTGGGATGACGCAAAGAATTTGCATTTGCAGTGATAATTTTGCACCAGCGAAAAAGAAATATTTTACAAACTTTTTTTTTCCTGCTTTGTTTCAAACTACAAATTTCAAATTAATTAAAACTTGACGTTACATGAGTTATTTCTCGCCAAAAAATAGAAAAATATTTTTTTAATTTTTATGTCATTGATAAAACAATATAAATTTATCATGCAACTAGTCTCCAAGCAAATAGTGGATCAAATATAATTAAACAGCCGATTCTTAAAGGGATGTGACTTTTGTACTGTGAGAAGTCTCAAGGAGTCAACAAATATTGGATATTTTCTCCTTCATTAAGTGATTAATTATTATAACAGAGAATATATATTCAAATTAAAAATTATTTTTACTCTGATACAAAATTATCTTTGCCACAGTGATTTTAATCTATTATTGCGATATGCTTTGCCATAAAGTATATATTGGTACAAATAATCCGGTGGTATAACCTTTTACAAAGGTTTCAATATACAAGAACGCGTATCTATATTGCATACTTTAGAGAGTTGCGACCAATCTCGCTGCGTTCGACTTACCAGATAAATCTAAAACTTAACTTCTACTTTGATTAATTTCGCGTTCGTACGACGTACGACGTTTTGTGAGAGTTGCATGATAAATTGAATTGTTAATTCATGCATGTACACTACTGCTCGAAAGTTTGACAAAAACACTCTCCACAGTTTTTAGATAAAAATACGATTTCTTATAATTATTTTGTTGAAAATATCAAGTAGATATAATTGATTAAACCACATTTAAATAGTTGATTAAATCTTCTTTTCAAAATTTAGAAGTTCTCCAAACCTTTAAGCGGTAGTATATGAACAATTATTCATTTAGAAAAAACATTTCGAATATTTCGATTGTCTGGCGATCTTAAATGATCGTGATTCGCGACACAAACATTTTAACGAGGCCGGCTCTCGAATAGTGTCATATAAATATTTGTGTAAAAATAAAGATACGCTGATTGTATAATAACAAGAATAAAGATAATTACGAGAAAGAAATCATAAGCGATAAAATATAATATAATACTATTCGGATGGAAAAAAAACAAACGTATATCGTCGATTTCCACTCGATTTCCACGACACGAGATACGCGAATAATAAACTTTTGTTTCGCATACGTAAATACGTATACATATATGTACACGTAAATATGTATATATTTTTCTCTCTCTCTCTCTCTCTCTCTCTCTCTCTTTCTCTCTCTCTGCATATATACATATCTATACACATGTGTGTGCATATTATATTACCATCAAAACCCATAATCGTTAAAATCCAATTTCACTAGTTAAAATTAGTTTTAAATTTAGTTGAAACGAGGTCTGTAATTGTACTGTTTCACATGGGTTTTCGACGCGTAGCGAGGTCCAACTCTCTCCCCTCCCCATTTACGGGGCGAAACGAGGTCTATAATTGTACTGTCCACATAAGTTTTTGATTTTACTAATCAACCATTCTAGTTTTACTAGTGAATTCGGGTTTTAACGAATTATGAGTTTTGACGGTAAGATATTACACACACACACATACACTCACACACACACACACACACACACACACACACACACACACACACACACACACACACACACACACACACACACACACACACACACACACACACAC